GAATAAAACCGTGCGTGTTTTCAGTTCCGAAAATCGTACCCGGGGACGCTGTGGCCCTGAGCAACATCCTCAGCCCTTTTCATTTTGAGACAGGGTCTCGCCGAGTGAGCGATCCTCCTGCCTCGGGCTCCGGAGTAACGGGGATCCCAGGCGTGTGCCTCTGCGCCCGGCTCCAATCGATCTTTTTGATCACGACTTGGAAGCACAGAGCCTTGGAGTTGTTCTCTGCGCAGTTCAGGGAGACCAGGCCCGGGCTCTGCGCACCGCCCTGACACCGGGCGGGGCGTGAGGGAAAGAGGCTGAGGCCGAAGGCACTTGCCCCGCCCCGAGCTGCGCGCTGCTTGGCGGGGTGGACCGTGTGGAAGAGGGAGGAGCGGACGTGGGGCGGGGCGTGTAGCGTAGGGCAGGGCGCCACGCATGACGCCATAGATAGGGCGTGGTTTATGTAGATGAGACAGCGCAGGGGCTGCTGTTTGGGCACCTGCTGCTTAAACACGGTGCATTTCCCCGTGTTGTGGGAGCGAGTGCAGGAATGTTGCTCGAGACGGGGGGTGGTATCCGCTGTGTGTAAGGGCCAAGCGAGCCCGGGAGTGCGTGAAGTAAAGTAACCGTGTGTGTACAGTGAAGGGCGTGTGAGGCTGAGGTGGGCGGGAAGGCGAGCAACTCATACTTACCTGGCAGGGGAGATACCATGATCACGAAGGTGGTTTTCCCAGGGCGAGGCTTATCCATTGCACTCCGGATGTGCTGACCCCTGCGATTTCCCCAAATGTGGGAAACTCGACTGCATAATTTGTGGTAGTGGGGGACTGCGTTCGCGCTTTCCCCTGGCATTTACGGTACTAAAAAGTAGCTGTTGTCTTGATCTAGGTCTCTCTCTTTCCGTTCCGCTTCGTGGCGTCTTAGGTGTTGCCTCTTTGGTTTTTTTCAATCTTTTTGTTGTGCACTCCTCTCTTTCTCTCTTTTTCTCGGGTCTAGTGTTCTAGGCTTACCGTACGTTTCCGCTTCTGCGGACCATGGGTAGGAGTGCAAGCATCGGAGCAAACCGCTCTTCTCACAACCGTGTCTGGATCTTCCGGGGTTGATGAAAGGAAAGTCCGGCAGGGGGCGCTTTTTCGTCATGGGCCAGAACACTCCCCAGGCCCAGAATGAGAAGAAGCTCAACAAGGTAAAGACTGTGAGCCACTTTGATTCTACTTTTCAAATCTCGTGAATGTTTCTTGTGACCTAAGTCAAGCCATAATAGCTGTATATTTTTAGGATAAGTTACCAACTGGGCTCCATGGTTACAGCTGGCAGGGGGAGGAAAGGAAGGGGAGAAGAAGCTCTCCCCTTCTCAGGTGTTGTACTTGAAGGGCTAACTTATCCAGAACAGTGAAAGATAAAAGCTGCTTTTATGTGGACTTCTCAGACTTAGACTGTGAACTTTTGAACCCCTCGCCTTACACACTGGGTATAAAACTCTGAAACTACCTGAACTCGGGGTTCAGGGGATTGATTGATTACAGCAAAATCTGTGCCCTTTGAGCCTGGCTGCAGCCAAATAAAACTCTTTCCTGCTGTCTTTTTCTTTTTTTTTTTTTTTTAATTTATTTTTTAGGTGTAGATGGACACAACACAATGCCTTTATTTTTTTATGTGGTGCTGAGGATCGAACCCGGGTCCTGCTCGTGCTAGGTGAGCACTCTACCGCTGAGCCACAATCCCAGCTTTCCTGCTGTCTTCTGTGCCTTGCTTCGTCTGTCCCTACAACAGAGAATTTACCTCCATTTTAGCAAACTTAACACAATATAATTGCACCACAGTCCTCATTTATGCAGTTGTCACAGGACATAGCTGGATATTCATAACTGGAAATCTGTGAGAGCTGGGGATATAGTTCTTTTGGTAGAGTGCTCTCCTAGCATTCACAAGACCCTGGCTTCAATGCCCAGCACCACATTAAAAAAAGAAAAAGAAGAAATCTAATCCCTGTCCTAGGGAGTCCAAGATGGCCAGATGGCAGTCTCAACGCCCATTTTAAACACCATTATTGCATCTACTGGTCGAAGCGTTTCCCTCTTGAGACCGAAGATTTTCTTAGATCAGCAGAGCCCAAAGGAAGAGTGATAGGAAGTAAAATTTCCATTAATGCGTCACTGGTGGTAATGAGAGGAACTGCTTCAAGTTTCACCATTTGATTTTGAACATTTGTCACTGATTTAGACATATTCTACGTCCTGAGGGATAGTACCTAGGTCCTCAAGGTATTGTCATCCAACTGGTACTGAAATTGAATCTTCAAGAAGACATTCCACCATCCCATGTAGCTAAGGATAGAACCAATGGGCAAAAGCCCGTTACAACTGTCAAGTGAGTTCTTGGTCAGAAGCAGTGCTACATGGAATACCTTAATGTGGAATAATCCATTCTGAAAGTTGGCACAATTCCTCCTCTGAGCCTTATTCTCTTTCCCATTCCTGTGTAGGAGGCCACAGAGCCCAGGGTCTGTTCCCCGGAAGTCTTTCAAATCTACCCCATGTCCTCATTCCAGAGGACCCTTTGGTAGTCTGCTGAGGCCTTCACAACAACTGTCAGAATTTTGTTTGTTTGTTTGGACTGGGCCTCGCTAAACTGCTGAGGCTGGCTTGGAACTCATAATCCTCCTTTCTCAACCTCCCCGGGCGCTGGGATTACAGGCGTGACCCACAGGGAAAAAAAAAAATAAAGAGGTGCTGAGGATCAAACTCAGAGCCTTGTGCTACATAGTGTTACAATTGAGTTACACTCCCAGTTCAATTTTTTTTTTTTACATATCTTTTATGTATTTTTTTATGGTACTGAGGATTGAACCTGTGCCTCACCTGTGCTAGGCAAGTGCTCTATCACTGAGTTACATCCACAGCTCCCAAATAGTGGTTTTAACCAGTAGAATGCTTATAGTTACAAAGGAAATAGAGTACTCTTTAATCTGTAGAGCTTTCATAGCCACAGTGGAAAGAATGAGGAAGACTAAGAGGGAAGAGGCTGAATTCATACACCAACCCTTCAGGCCTTGACCCTAGACGATTCTAGAATTGAAGTGATTCAAAATAATTATTCTAGGTTTCCGCCTGGGCCGTGGCGCATGCCTTTAATCCCAGCTGCTCAGGAGGCTGAAGCAGGAAAATCACAAATTCAAAGCCAGCCTCAGCAATTTAGTGAGACTGTCTCTAAATTTTAAAAATATATAAAAAGGCCTAGGGATGTGAGTCGGTGGTTGAGCGTCCCTGGGTTCAATCCCTGGCACCAAAATTCAGCTGTGCGACCAGCACCTGCTAGCTTCATAGTAGAGGTTCTTTTTTTTTTTTTTTTTTTAAAAGAGAGAGAGAGAATTTTTTAATCTTTATTTTTTAGTTCTCGGCGGACACAACATCTTTGTTTGTATGTATGTGGTGCTCAGGATCGAACCCGGGCCGCAAGCACGCCAGGCAAGCACGCTACCGCTTGAGCCACATCCCCAGCCCCATAGTAGAGGTTCTAAGCATAGAAGTTTACTAGTGAGATCAAAATAAACACACAAAACTCAGTTTACCTTTTTCTTTGACCAGGTCTGAGACGCTCCCCCTCTGGCTCCTGCCTGGAGCCACCCGGTGGGGCATCGAGGTTTACATAGGACTAGCAGGAGAGAGAGGCAGGGCACGCCAGAGAGTGGCCTTTTATTGGGGAACAAGAAATTCAGGGGGAAATTCCATCCAATGAAGGTCGAGGGGGACAGCATTCCAAGGTCAGGGTCAGTGATCGGTCTCAGGGTCAATGGTCAGTCACACCCCCACACGGATGGGCTCTGGCACCTAGAAAGGGTGGGGATGAGTTCGGCACAGTTTAGCCAGAACGCCTCACACCCAGTCAGGGAGGTGCCCAATCACGTGCGAGAATGGCTTCCCACACATAATAGTAGTAGTAGTAGTAATATTGTTGTTGTTGTTGTTATTATTATTATTATTATTATTATTTTAGGTTTTCCCTGGCCTCAGGGAAACTGCAACTACTGGACATCATTACTAGCTAATTAATACTGAGAGCATAGTTCCAAAGGAAGGATCATACGCCTCCTTGTGGCCACCGGGGATCCCTACAATTTCAGCACCCAATCTGGAAAAAAAAAAAAAAAAAATACCCCGAACTCTGGGCAATGCTCAAAATCTTGAAATTACAAGATATTGGAGCTTTAAACTGAGCAGGATGAAACAAAACCTTGTCCTATCTTCTCCCTAGAAACACGAGATTGTTAGAGTCTGTAAACAAGTCAAAAATAACACCTGGCATTTTGCAAGGGGAATGTTAGAGTTCCTAAACAAGTCTGGATGGCGCCTGGCAAAATGCCAGAGGGAGTGGTTTGAGAAGTAACAAAAGCGAGCCTTTAAGTGTGGAGATTCCTGATTGGTTGACTGATGTATCTAGTTTATGCTAATTAGATAAGCTGTGTGGAATGTATAAATACTGCTCCTGTCCTGCAATAAACGGCTCCCACTCCTGCTGTATCAACGTACACAAGTTATTCGTCACCCCCCGGTTATTTTGCAGCCAGCCGGTCTTCTACACGAGATCAGTTGTTCAAATGTAAAGAATCCGAGTCAAGACTGAAGGCAACCTCTTCAGGTCATTGTTGACGTGAAGAAACAGAATTGCGGAGCTGAACCGAGTCCCTCCTTCCTGGAGCCGATGGGCATTCCGCCAAGGTTCAGGCTCTGATTGCAAGTGGGTAAAAACTGGTGCATGGAGTGGGATGCTGGGGAAGCCACTCCAGCCTCTCCCGGATCTCCCCTTGTTTCTCTCCTCCCAGAAGAAACCAAGAAGGAAGGGACATCCAGGGTAAAAGGATCCTTTTTCAACCCCCCGCCCCCAGAGGTCCCACCTGCCACGATCTTTTCCGGAATCCTGGTGTCGGAGAAGGTGCTGCGAGACTGAAGAAAGAGGACGACAGGTTCAGATCTGCACAAGGTGTGACTTTTAGGCACAGAACCGTCTTGGGTAGCAGCAAGACAAGGCGCACCCCGGACTCGGGCAGGAGGGGGGACTGATCTGCTGAGCTAGACAAAGGGGGCCTTGTCTGTCTAGGAAACAGTGGGGCGTCGGGGTGTCACACGAATCCTTGTATTCTGTAGAGTTTGGAATGCGTACCAGGGTCACCTAACCAGCAGAGTGGCAGTTGCACCCCAGATGACTTAGTCAGGTCAAGCTAGATGCCTACAAAGTCACTTACTAGCGGCTGCTACTCTGCGAGGCCCAAGGCCCGGGTGACCGTCCACGCAGATGCCGGGCAACGCGGTGCCGCGGGGCCCAGGAGCCTCAGCCCCGCGGGTTGTGCGCCTCTTCTCTGGGCCCAGAGGAACGTGCCTGCGGCTGCGCCCAGGACGGTCCCTAGCGCTGGAAGACGGTCGGCTGCGTCGCGTCGCACCGAAGCCACGGCCGTCCCTGTCCTTCGCGCGGTCTGTGCCATCAGGCCTGCTCGGGTCACGCGGACGGCTCCGCTTCCACGCGGCTCTGGCAGCGCTCCTGGTGATCAAAGAGGACGCGGCGGCCGGGGCGGCGAGTCGCCAGGCCTCCGCTCGGAGGTCGAGGCCGTCGGGGAGGAGGCGCGGCGGGCGGCGAGAGGGGAAACCAGGCTCGTGGCCTTTTCCGTGCTCACGCACACCCGAGGTCCCCGCTCCTGCCCCTTCCTCCGCCTCTCCAGCTGCCCGTCGGCTCGGGCCCCGCAGGCAATGCGCGCCCGCGGGGAGCGGGGCCGGACCTCGAGCCGGCGGCCGGCAGCCAGACCCGGGGGACCGCAGCCCGGAGCGACGTCCGGACGGGCCGACGGCACGGCGGCCGCGGGGGCTGGTCCCGAACCCGAGGCCGCTCGCATTTCCCAGATGGAGACAGGAACCCGCCGCGCGCAGCCCTGGGTCTCTGTGGCGCAATGGGTTAGCGCGTTCGGCTGTTAACCGAAAGGTTGGTGGTTCGAGCCCACCCAGGGACGGCCTCTTTTTCCGTTAAACGTGATCTCAGGTCACCTGTCCACGACATTAAGCTGCAGAGTCCTCTGGACCCCGTCAGCCAGGACTCGCCGCGGAGCAGGCTGTGCGTCCCGGCCATGTGGCGGGGGAGCTCCTCGTGGTTCCGGCTCTGCCGCAAGGGCCTTGGGATAGGTTCCGCCACGCCCGCCCGTGGGGACCAGTGGGGACCAGGACTTGGTAAGCGCTTGCTGGACGCCAGCCACTGTCCCTATTTTCAGGGGCAGCATCAGCGTTAGCACTGTTCGCTGTGTGTCATTTTGTTAGAGTCTCTAAACAAGTCTGGATGGCGCCTGGCAAAATGCCAGAGGGAGTGGTTTGAGAAGTAACAAAAGCGAGTCATTAAGTGTGGAGATTCCTGATTGGTTGACTGCTGTATCTAGTTTATGCTAATTAGATAAGCTGTGTGGAATGTATAAATACTGCTCCTGTCCTGCAGTAAATGGCTCCCACTCCTGCTGTATCAACTACACAAGTTGTTCCTCACCCCCGGCTATTCTGCTGCAGCCGGACTGCGGCATCATTTCCTGGCTCCACGGAGGAGGTGAGACCCCTTCTGACGTTCTCTGTTGTAATTATTCAGAGATCATCTTCCTACCGTCACCTGGTCTCCGGGGCAAGCCTGCAAGTGGGACTGCCCTGATGTCCAGAGCGGTGGCCCGCGCTGCCCCACTCTGAGGAAGGCTCTTTCCCGCAGGTGCATGAGATGTCCGACAGCGGTGCAAACCCGACCTGCTGCTGCTCCCAGTCCCACGTGGCTCTCCGTCTTACGGGGAGGCTCTGCTGTGCACTCTTGTCCTCTGATCTCTGAGAACTAGGGAAACTGGCTCACAAGAGACTGGAGGTCGCATTCTTCTGACCATAGAGGGTGGGAGGCCGTTCCCGCACCTGATTTGAGTCACCTCCCTGGCAGGCGAGAGGCGCTCAGGCACAGCTGTGTCAGGGCCTTCCCCACCCTGTCCCAGGTGCGAGAGCCTGTCCGTGTGGGGGTGTGCCTGACCACTGACCTGAAGTCCAGTCACTGACCCTGACCTTGGAATGCTGTCCCCCTCCACCTTCATTGGATGGAATTTTCCCTTGAATTTTTTGTTCCCCAATAAAAGCTCACTCCCTGGCGTGTCCCCTCTCTCTCGCTGGCCTCTGTTAACCTGGCCACTGCATTAGGTGGCAGGAGCTAGGAGGAGCCTCTCTGAGCTGGGCAACAAGGTATCGAGAGTCATGTCTCTTTAATTTTAAACTCACTAGTTAATTTTATGTTCTGAACCTCTATTATGAAGCTAGCGTGCTGGTCTCGCGGCTGGTAGAGGTCTCCACAGGTAACCTTGCACCTCTGGGCCTTTGACAGAGTGCCCAGACCCAATTCACCTTCCAGAGTGTGACCTTCATGGTCAGTCCTGAGTCAAATAAAATGTGGAAACAGAAGACTTTAACTTTTCATCATTTTGAAACTTTAGATAATGGATGTTTTCCTTATTTTCTTGTGGCATTAAGAGGGAGAGTTGCATTCTCCTGACTCAGTAACTACTGCTCTTAGGGAATTGTTTGGTCTATGCTTGAAAGAAAAGTGACCACAACACTCGGAGCAACCAAAAGATCTTTATTGCAGCAGTGCAACAAAGAGAAAAGAAAGAAGGAAAGAGAGAGAGAGAGAGAGAGAGAGAGAAAAGAAAAGAGGGAGAGAGCAAGAGCAAGAGAGAGAGAGCAAAAGAGAGGGGGGCCTGGCAGGAGGGAGTTTTTATAGCCCAAATCTAATGGGGCCTCTGGGTCTGCAAGCTGCCTTGTTGGCTCAAGGGGGGGTTAAGTGTTCAGCCTTGAGCAGGGTTGAATGTTCAGACTTGAGGCAAACAGGTGATAAAGGACCAGATAGAGTGGGGTTTGAGTGCGTCGGCTATCTTGCAGCCAACATCTGTTCAGCCTGCCCTGCAGACAATGCCGCAGTCCGGCTGCAGCAAAATAAGGGGTGTGGGGGGTGGGGGGGTGACTAACAACTTGTGTAGATTGATACAGCAGGAGTGGGAGCCCTTTATTGCAGGACAGGAGCAGTATTTATCCTTTCCACACAGCTTATCTAATTAGCATAAACTAGATACATCAGTCAACCAATCAGGAATCTCCACACTTAATGGCTCGCTTTTGTTACTTCTCAAACCACTCCCTCTGGCATTTTGCCAGGAGCCATCCAGACTTGTTTATAGACTCTAACAAGACAACACAGTTCAGCCTGCTCTGCACCCAATAATGCTGATATGTGTATTTGCTATGAAATGCAAGGTGGGCATTAGCCAAAGAGAATTTTTCATAGTAAATAAAAGTAAATGGAGTTGAAGCCAATCTCTTTACCTCACTGGAAGATTCTGTTACATCTGTCCCTAAAACTATTGCCATAGCCCTCCTTGAATAAATCTGCTTTACTCTCAAAAGAAAAAGAAAAAGAAAAGCAAAACAAAGCCAAGCTGGGCAAAGTGACACAAACATGTCCCAGCTACTCTAAAGGCTGAGGTGGGGAGATTGCAAGTTCAAAGCTGGCTTTGGCAATTTAGGAAGACCCTGTCTCAAAATAAAAATTAAAAACAGGGCAAGTGCTCTAACTCCCTGGTAGATCATCCTGTGTTAAATCCACAGTAACACACACACACACACACACACACACAAAACAACAGAAGTGGAGGTTAGATTCTCAAATAGATTTACCTAAAAATAAGTGAAGTCTTATTTTGATCCTTTCAGAGTTTTAGATGGTGTCCTAATCATCTTGGGTTGCTGTAATAAAGTACCCTAGACCGGGTAGTAAGACTCAAATGGCTTCAGTTTGAACATTTGCCTTCATGGCCTATGTGAATCTGAGGAGGTCACTTGGCATCACAACACAGCCATTCTCCTGTGAAATTCAAAAGACAACAAACTGTAAAGTACTCTTTTGTTGTTATTGTTATTTGTGGTGCTTGGGATCTGGGCTATCTTTTTTTTTTTTTTTTTCCTTTTAAATTGTGGGCTATCCTAATGACTGTTCATCCTATAGGGTTTGAAATGGGTATGAGGGTCATCTAGTGAGCAAGATGGTGGTTATGACTAACTGGTCGTACTCATGTCAAGTTGGATATCTATAACTTGAAAAAACCACAACATACAAAAAAGGCTTATTTTATTTAGTTTTCTTCTTTTTTTTTTTTAAAGAGAGAGTGAGAGAGATAGAGAATTTTTTAATATTTATTTTTTTAGTATTTGGCGGACACAACATCTTTGTTTGTATGTGGTGCTGAGGGTCGAACCCCGGCCAAACGCATGCCAGGAGAGCACGCTACCACTTGAGCCACATCCGCAGCCCCTTATTTAGTATTTTTATCAGGCTTATGCAAGCATAGGGTTTAGAGAACCCAACACTCTTATAAAGCTTTTAATGGAAACCAACTGTCTTTTGATCCCCTTACCCATTTCCTGCTCCCTTGAGGTAACTACTTTATTATTATTTTTTCAATTAATACATAAAAACTGTACATGTTTATGGGGCACCATGTGATGTTTCAATACAACTCTGAAGCATCACATGGTTCTTCAAATATTTATCCTGTCATTGTTAAAAATTAAAAATCCAAGCCAGGGGTGGTGGCGCACACCTGTAATCCTAAAGGCTTGGAAGGCTGAGGCAGGAGGATAGTGAGTTCATAAGCCAGCCTCAGAAAACAGCAAGGCCCTAAGCAACTCAGTGAGACCCTGTCTCTAAATAAAATACAAAATAGGGCTGGGGATGTGGCTCAGTGGTCAAGTGCCTCTGAGTTCAATCCCCCGTTCCAAAAGAAAAACATTCTTTTTTTCCTAGCTTTTTGAAACACATGGTACATTATTGTTATCTGTATTCACCCTACTGTGCTTCTATGAAATACAAGAACTTATTTCTCCTATCTAACTATAAATGAATGCCCATTGACCAATTTATCCCCATTTCTCCCTCATACTTTCTCCAACCTCTGGTGACCATTATTCTACTCTCAACTTCGATCAGAGGGGTTTTTTTTTTATCGTTTTTTTTTGTAATTATTTTATTTTTAGTTGTAGATGTACACAATAGCTTTATTTTGTTTATTTTTATGTGGTGCTGATAATTGAACCCAGTGCCTCACACATACATGCTAGGCAAATGCTCTATCACTGAGCCATATCCCTAGCCCTTATGAGAGGTTTTAGATTCCACATAAGTGTGAGATCATGAGGTACTGCCTTTCTATGCCTAACTTATTTCATGTAACATAATGATCTCTAGTCCTAGCCATGTTATTGTTACAAATGACAGGATTTTGTTCTTTTAATGGCTGAATAGTATTCTATAGTATATATGTACCACCTTTTCTTTTTCCATTCATCAGTTGATGGATACTTAAATTTTCTGTTTCTTAACTATTGTGAATAGTACTGCAATAAATACAAGAGTACAGATGTCTCTTAGACATACTGATTTAATATCTTTTGTATGTATACCCAGTAGTGAGATTGCTGGATCATATGGTAGTCCTATTTTTAATCTGGGTGTGTGTGTTATGCTGGAAATTGAATGCAGGGCCTTGTGCATACTGCAAGTGCTCTACCACTGAGCGGCATCCCACTCTAGTTTTAATTTGGGGGGAACTAGAGGTAGCCACTTTAAATTATTTGTGTCAGTAACTGGTTATTTATCTCCATCTCTAAA